ATGTAAATGGTCATTTAGTTTTGTTGAGTACTCATGGGATACTATTTTGAGGGTACTTTCTACATATTAAACACTTAAAAGTGCTTTATCTATAATTCATTTAATTCTTGCAGTTATTAAAGAAGGTCAGATCTATTATTTATCCCTACCTCACAGATGAGAAAACTAAGGTATAAAGATGTCAGGTGCTTGATCCAAGACCACTGACCTAGTCAAAGAAATGGGATTTGGACTCAGTTTATGGAAATCCTGGGTCTAAGTTCTTAAACACTTCACTATAATGTAGTATACAGCCTCTCTACATCAAAAGATATTGATAGATACAGATTTAGGATGAAGGTTATTGTGGTGGTTAAGTTTGTGTGCCAACTTGGCTGGGCCTGGTTGAACGGCTGGCCAGCTGAATGTAGTTATTTCCCATGGTGAGATTAGTAATTAACTCCATGATGGAATGAATCTATTGGAGCAGCTGAGTAGCTGCTTTGGGTATGTGGTCTGCTTCCCGTATATAAGAAACAGCTTTGGGAATGGTCTCTAGCTGATGGCACGCCTGGACCCTGCGTGTAGTCGTGTCATTGTTGAGCGGCCTACCATGCTCTGCTGATCTTGGGACTTCCAGTGGACTTGAATTAACGTCCTGTCATGTGGTTTGGTAACATAGGGACTGTGCCATTTTACTTGTCAATCTTCAGCTTGTTAGCCCCAACAGCCAGTAGCTGCCTGAGTGAAGAGATGCCTATAGCTCCAGTCGGCCAGAAGCAAGAGGCAGAGCTGAAGCCCAAGGCTGAGAGTCTTTCACCCAGCCCCTAGAGCCTGGCACTTTGAACTCGGACTTAAAGCCTCTAAACTATGAGAGAATAAACTCCTGTTTGTTAAGGCCATCCCATTTGTGGTAGATATTCTTGTCAGAACAGCACTAGGTAACCAGAAGAGTTATTAATAAAATAAATCTATTTACTAGAACACAGTAAAGCTTATGCAGTACATTTTTGGCCTTGGGGTGATAACCCTTATACTACTTGTTAGCTGCTCTGTGCATAGTCAAACTTGGGAAAATGCAACTTTCAGCAAGAAAAGAATGAGACTGGAAAAAATGTCCCTATCAGAATTTAAAATAAGGGGGAAAAAAATCTACATTTTTTTTTCTTGAAAACACTCCACCACAGAAGTCTCTCTTTTCCTGTCACTGAACTTGTAATCTTCCTTCAAGATGTAGCTAAATGACATTCTGTTTGAATGCTTTCCCCATTTTCTAAGATGAGGTGTCCCTTTTTTCTCTCATTTCTTCTATTAAAAAAAAAAAAAAAAACCTAACTTTTTATCGGGTGTTGTAGTGTATTGAGCCCCCTGTGTGGTTCAAATGGTTAAATGTTTGGCTACTAACCAAAAAACTGGAGATTTCAATCCATACCAAGGTGCCTCAGAAGAAAGGCCTGCTGGTCACCTTCCTAAAGATCACAGCTACTGAGAACCCTGTGGAGCACACAATTCTGCGCTAACTCACCAGGAATGGCCATGAATTGGAATCAATTCAATAACAACTATTCCCTGGCCTCCCCATAGTGTATTGAACATATTGTAAATACTTCACTTATTATATCACCTTGTAACACCCTGTTCTGGTTACCCAGTGCCACTCTGACAAGAATGTACCACAAATGGAATGGCCTTAATAAACAGCAGTTTATTCTCTAACAGTTTGGAGGCTTTAAGTCCAAGTTCAAAGTGCCAGGCTCTAGGGGCTGGGTGAAAGCCCCTCAACCTTGGGCTTCAGCTCTGCCTCCAGCTCCTGGCCCACTGAAGCTAGAGGCTTTTCTTCACTCAGACAGCTGCTGGCTGCTGAGGCTTCCAAGCCCAAGGTTGCCAAGTAAAAAGGCATGGTCTGGATATTACCAAACCACATGGCAGGCCATTAATTTAAGTCCACGTAAGTCCCAAGGTTGGCACAGCATGACAGGCTGCTGAAAAACAACATGGCTACATGCAGGGTCCAAGTGTGCCATAAGCTAGAGACCATTCCCAAAGGTGCTTCTTATGTATGGGAAGCAGACCACATCCCAAAGGCAGCCACTCAGCTGCTTGTGGTAGATTCCACCATGGAGGTGATTGCCAGTTTCATCATGGGGAATAACTACCACCAGCTGCCTAGCCATTCAACCAGACCCAGCCAAGCTGACATACAAATTTAACTACCACAATTCCACCCCCTGTCAACTTGTCACCTGTATAGATCTTCAGTGGGTGGCATCTGTACAGATCTCCTCCACCGGGTGACTCCAGTCCCCTAGTTCCTCTATGTGGCGACCTCACCCCCTTGGCCTGGCGGGCCCTGTTCCTCTCCCTCTTGGTCATGGCAGCCCCGCCCCCTCACTCTTGGGCAGCAGCTATGGCTCCATCCCACTGGCTCCCATGAATGAGCAGCCCCACACTCCAGAACCAAGTTGGGGAAGGCCTGGCTCTTTGAAACTGAGGGGACTGTGATGGTTCCACCCCCAATGGCCATGGTCCTACCCTTTCAGGCTGAGGCAGCTCTACTTCCTGTTTCTTTAGTCTCTCTGCTTCTGCCGATTAATGCCTGAGGGCAACCCACTCTGCTGGAAATCTTTCTGCCCAAAGGAACTTAGCTTTCTTGCTCCATGAGCCAGCTAACCTGCTATTCCATTTTATGCCAGTCTCTTCATGGGGAATAACTACCATTAGCTGCCCAGCCACTCAATCAGGCCTAGCCAAGTGGACATATAAATTTAACTACCACACACTCCTATGGGATGGCTATCATTATCCTCATTTTTCAGAGAAACAAATGCATCGTGAGATTAAGTAACTAGTCTGATGTCACATAGTTAAATAGTAACAGAGCCAGACTGCAAATCCCGGAAGTCTTAACTCCAAAACTTGATCCTTGTAACCACAGTTACCCTTGTCACATTGGTTCAATTGTCTTTGCCCTTCTTCTGACCCTTTCTAAATCACTCATTTAAATTATTAAGGGTCTCTTGTCAACTGAATGCTCTTTTAGACACTTCCAGCTCTGGTAGCATAGTGCCTAAGGCACTTGACTGCTAATCAGAAGACTGGCAGTTTCAACCCACCAGCCACTCCTCAGAAGGAAGATGGGGCAATCTACTTCCGTAGTGATACTGCCTTGGAAACTTAAGGAGGGGTCGCTATGAGTCAGGTACGATTTGACGGCACATAACAACACAACAGTCTAAGGAAAGGTTGGAGGGAAGCGTCTCCTAGAAAGTGGGAACAGTACAAATAAGGGCCTAAAAGTACGACAAGAGCAAAATCTTTTCCAGAACAGCCTTATGGCTGTTCCCTGAACAGAAGGAAAAGTGAGCTGTGAGGTAGTGTTCAGACCATAAAGTTTCTCCCAAGCTTGTAAGAAGTTTGGGTTTAATTTTATTGTGAAAGTAAAGGGAGGCACTAAATGGTTTTAAGGTAATTTAGAAAATGCTGATTTAACCTGTAGTCATTTCCATATTTACAGTATAATACTATTGTCCTACTACACAGAATAATGGGCTCCCTAAAGAAACAAACCAAGCTGTATCTTTGTTTTCAGAAATTCTCATTCTAGAAGTTTTTAAAGAATAACAATGACAGACATTGGGGAAAAGAAACCGATAAAACTTAACACTTTATTATTATTATTTTTTATCTTAGAAGGAATTCACCAAAGGCTTCATATTATGCTATGGCATCTTTAATTATAAAAATAAGCAAATAAAATAACTTGCATCTGTCATTACCATGATATGTTTCATAACCTTTATATGCACAAGGAGCTTAAAAATGTAATTTAACAATAAATAATGACATATACCAGATATGCTCACTGTTTATTCCAGTACTCAGCCAAAAAACCTAAATATCATTTAAATTATAAATACACAATGCAAATATAATGGCACAAACATGTCTAAAGTGCAACCAAATCACAATAGAAGAATCATGCAAACGGTCTAGGTCAGCCCCCAAATCACTCTGTGCAGAAAACACGAGAGGAAGCTTTGGAAGTTCCAGGGGGAGTTGGAGGGAGAGGGGTGGGGAAAAGAGAAGCAAAAAACTAGCAACATTGTGAGAACTGCTTCTTTCCATATGTGAAGATATATGTATTATAGATACATATATAAATATCATTATGGGAAGTAAAGGGGGGGTACCACGATTTGAAGAAGTCATAGAAAAAAAAGAGAATCCACTGGACTGAAGTCAGAGAGACTTTTGCTAGGACTACTCATGAACTAATTGTCACATTGGGGTCCTGGCTTAGCGGGTTTGCGAAATGGACACAACACACAAACTTCAATAGCTTTTCTGGTTCAGAGAAGTCAGCCTTGCCTGGGAGTGGAGGGTGGGGTGGAGGAGTGGGAGAGTCAACTTAGAATATGGTCTACCTGATTTCCAAGAGGCTAAGGCAGTGTCCATATATTTGGGGACCTGGGGGTGGGACAGTTCTAAGTATAAAAATGCCCTTAACAATCTGATGTCAGCACGCTTAGAGGCTGTGTGGGAACAAAGGCAGCCACGTGTCCGTGCTGCTGCTGCTGCTGCTGGGTCTGCTGCAATTGCTCTTGGTCCTTGAGCAGCACGTTACTGGTTTTAAAGGCTTTGTGGTAAAGTTGTATTGCTTTTTCATTTTTTCTGGAGATGTGCCCTCCCTCCTCCCACCAGGATCCCTATCACTAGATTTGGTCAAATCTTGAGTTTAGCCTAGTGAGAGTCAAGCACCAATAGTTTCTACCTAAGCAAGTTTGGAGTGGCCCCTACAGTCCTACCCCTCCTCCCTCTTCCTCTCTCAACATTGACCTTTGGTGGGTAGTGATGCTCATTAGGGACTGTTGGGTTCAAGGACAATGACCCTGAGAAACTACTGTTGTTTATAGATAGGTTACTCATTTGGCTTTGGTGGTCGCCATCTTGTAAACATCACGGCAGAAATGATCAAACCACCAGCTCTTTTTTTTTTTTTTTCCCTCTTTCTGGTTTTGCAGTCCTACAGAGATGGCCCAGCTGCCAGGACTACTTTGGCAGGCAGAGTGCTACAGGACAAAAGTGTAAGAGTTGTCTATTAAGGCTGGACAGCCCAGGATTATTTATATCCCCTCAGCCAAGTACCCCAAACTAAAGACCCAAAGGCTGATTGACTCATTCCTGATTGACTTAATGGGAAGCCTCCCACCCTGCCATCATTTTCTCAGAGTACAGGGCACCGATAAAAGGTGGCACATTAAGAGCTGCCACTTCCCACGGTATAGGCCTTATCGCACTGTAAGTGATCCAAGCCCAAAGGGATGCTCTTTTTGGTTCTTATAATTCCCAGTTGGATGTGATGAAATGTTTCAGGACAGGTCTAAGTCAAGAATAGCCTCTGGGTTGAGGTGGGCTGGGAGATTAACATCTTACCTGGGGTCCTTCAGATAAACCTGTTGGTTTTTCCTATCTCATATAGGCCCATCTTAAGTTTTGATGTTGAGTAAAACTACTTCTACCCCCTTAGTTATAAAAAAGGCCACAAGGAGCATTTATGTGGATATCTGGAATTGAGATAGTTATTCCATTCCCAGAAAAAGAAAAATAAAGCTAAGTTACAAAACTAAATCTATATGCAATAAAGTTATTATATACTGCTTTGTTTAAGCAGAGTCCTCTGGAATTTATGTACAGTACATTAGTTTTCAGCTATTTATATTCCACAGTTAGACCTTAAGATTCTCTGGTTTTAAGACAATTGTTAAAGATACTTTTAAAGCTCTGAGCAGTTACAGTACATAAAGATGTTAGCTTTTTGTTTTTCACTAGATGCAAGAAGATGCAGGCTCAGTGTCTGGTCGGAAAGCCAGGCTTGAGCAATTTGGTAAATGTGTTGGAAAGGAAATTAGACATTGGAGGATCAAGACCATAAGACACTAGCTCATTAGAGATCAAGAATTCAAACATGACATTCATATTCGTCCATGGCCAGCACAGATTCATAACACGAATTCCATTTAACATCTTTATGAGCTTTTAAGACATGCATTTAAATTAAGTTGTTTCTTATCAGCTAACTCTACTGGGGCAACCATTCTGAAGGGCTCCACATCTTCAAATTACAATGACTTGGGAATTACATGAATGTTTTGAGCTTGAGGGTAGTTTGAGGGCAACTGGGGAAGGATTTGGGAAAGGAAGGTGATTAAAGAGGAGAGGCGGGAAGATCACATGTATTTTGTTTGTGGGAATGCTGCCATTGCAGAATGTTGGGATATTGATTACAGAATCCTAGTTTCATGCAATTTTCTTTAAGGGGGATAGAAAATAGGAACTACTTTAAAAAATCAAACCAGGCACAGTACACTTAAAGTTGGTGTATTAACACCCCTAAAATGATACTAGTTGGTGAGGTTGTGAACCTCTCTCCCTGGTTATGCACTCTCATGTGAGGTGCGTTTTATGTGGGAGGGAGAGGTCCCCTCACCTCGGAGGTTCCTGAGGAGGACTTTCAGCTTCTGCGGCTCGTTGGTGCGCCTCCTGTTGAAGTCAGCTCGTGGGTGTAGTTGGGCACAGTGGTCTGTCTGCAGGATATGGAAGAGGCTGGCCATGTTGGGCCCAATTTTCTCCATCAGGCTGTCTCTGATTGTGCTGACTGTGTCTTCATCACATTCCAATAGGCTTCGGACAAGTCTGTTATAGTATCTGCATGGAAAAGAGGGCAGTGCTACCATCATTCAGTAAAACCAAAGCAAGACTCAGGCTCCAGACAATGGTGGTCCCGAATGGCCAGGCTATGAAAAGAGAAAGAGTTCATCAGCTGAAGGTGGCTTTTGGTTCCTAACCCTTATGCAGTATCTTCTTAGTTTGAGTGCATATGCTCCCTAGGTTTACAATACAATGCAATGTCATCACACTCACAGATCAGGAGACTTAGAGCATACTGTAACTAGTAGGTTGAATGCAATGTCTAAAATTTTTGGAAGTAAGGAATCATGGAGCTAGATGGGGCCATAAAGATCAGATAGTGACGAGTTCAAGTCTCATTTTATAGAGAAGCAGCTAAGACGGGAGAGCTGAAGTAACTTGTCCAAGGTCATAATATGAGTTAGTGGTAGAAGCAAGACTTACTCAAATATGATGAGATGAGCTCAACACTCAATGCTTGTATTAATAGTCAAAATACATGAATTTGTAGGTATTTTGACACCCCTTTGCAATATTCCTTTATGGTGGGTGTGTGTGAGTGCAGGTGTATGTATCTATGAGTGCTTATTTTGATTAAACTTCCCTTTTAAAAGGAGGGATTCTGTCCTCTATGCCTCATGCATTTTTCTACTAAATCTAATTTCCATATCATACACTCAGCTAGCCTTGATAAATGCTGTTGACTGACCACATTTTCAGTCTTCCTTCAAAGGTCTTAGTGTAGCTAGAGGGTCAATGTGCCAAGCAGTAAGATAATTAGATTGAAATATTGGTGATCCTTAAGGGTTCTTCAGTAACTTCATGGAGTCTTCTCCTACTGCTGTAGCTTTTGCTGTCTTTCCCTTTCTCGAACTTCTTATAAACATTATAAAGATTAAGATGTGATGGCTTCTAATAGTTTCATTTCCTTAATTAGATTGGAAACTCCTTGAAGACAATTTTTGAGAAAAACCACTGTAATTTGCATTCTTATTTTCTTGAATCTCTCTTGGTACAGTACTATACTGCTATATTGCCCTCTTGTTTTAGATTTCTTGGTTTATTTTTTGGTCACTGAGGAAATGAATTTTTTAAAATATAAATCTATCTAGTAAATCATGATTCCTTGCTAAGTATGGCAACTTTAGGATCCCTGGTGGCACAGTGGTTAAGCACTCAGCTGCTAACTGAAATATTGGTGGTTCGAACCCACCAGTCACTCTGTGGGGGAATGATGTGGTAGTCTGCTTTCATAAAGATTAAAAAATTAAAAAAAACCAAACCCTTTGCCATCAAGTTGGTTCTGACTCATAGAGACCCTACAGGCCAGGGTAGTACTACTCCATACAGTTTTGAAGGGTATAATCTTTACAGAAGCAGACTGTCACATCTTTCTCCCAAAGAGCGACTAGTGGGTTTAACCAATGACCTTTTAGTTAGCAGCCAAGATCTTAACCACTGTACTACTAGGGCTCCCTGTAAAGATTACAACCTTGGCAACTCTATGGGGGCAGTTCTGCTTTGCCCTTATAGGGTCATTATGAGTTAGAAATGACTTGATGGCAAAAGGCTACAAGTATAGTAAACTTTAGGATTCCCTGGACTAACAAAAATGTTGGTAATTTGAACCCATCTAGCAAGTGCCTAAAGGCACTTGACTGCTAACCAGAAGGCTGGCGGTTCAAACCCACCAGCCACTCCTCGGAAGGAAGTTGGGGCAATCTACTTCCATAGTGAAACTGCCTCGGAAACCCAAGGAGGGGTCGCTATGAGTTGGGGCCGACTCGACAGCACATAACAAAAACAGCATAGTACCTAAGGCATTTGACTGCTAACCAGAAGGCTGGCGGTTCAAACCCCCCAGCCACTTTTCAGAAGGAAGGTTGAGCAATCTACTTTCATAGTGATACCACCTCAGAAACCCAAGGAAGGGGCCTCTATGAGTCAGGTCTGACTCCACAGCACATAACAACAGAGGTGCCTAGTAGAAAGGTCTGGCAATTTGCTTCTGAAAAGTCATAGTTTTGAAAACCCTATGGAGCAGTTCTACTCTGCACACATGGGGTTGCCAGGAGTTGGAATTGACTCAACAGCAACTTTTTTTTTTTTTTCCCCTGGCAAATTTTACAAAAAACCCTTGCATTTGATATAAGCTAACTTCATCTTTGGTGCAATTTCTTTAAACATTCCAAACATCGCAGTTAGATGTCATGGCTCAGATGGGATTATACTCTGGCAGGAGCTCTGGTAGCATAGTGCCTAAGGCACTTGACTGCTAACCAGAAGGCTGGCGGTTCAAACCCACCAGCCACTCCTCGGAAGGAAGGTTGGGCAATCCTACTTCTGTAGTGATACTGCCTCGGAAACCCAAGGAGGGGTCGCTATGAGTTGGAGCCGACTCGATGGCACATAACAACAACAACAACAACAACAATATTGATAGCATAAAAGTTGCTTGTCTTGTTTTTGGGAAGGCAGTCCAGGTATTTTCCAGTGTTGTTTGGAATACTTTTGCTCTGTTTTGAAGTGGCAGTTGTCAGAATCCATTAGCTCTGTGTTCATCAAGAAGAGACTCTCTGATGACAGTGACCTGGAATATTTATATGGAGAGACCCTTTCCTCAGAGAAGCCTGAAGATCTCTGGGGCCATAGAATCTTCCATGAAAAGAAACCTGTTTATTTTTAACTCACCTTACAGAGCACAGGATCAAACATCTTTCCAGAATAACTTAACCCCCAAAAGAGGTCCTTTCAAGGATGTACAGTAAATCGAGTGGAACGTGGGTAATGAAGCAAAACGGTCACCCTTCTGTGGGTGAGCAGAACAAAGGTGGGGATGGAAAGAGAAGTGCTGTGTTTGGGTTGCTGACAGATTGTGGTATACCCGTTCCTCAAGGGAGGATTATATCCAGCTGTTGTTAAATTTGGGATTCTCTGGCACAGAAGAACATTTTCCAACCCTTTGGAATTATAAAGCACATGAGTCAAAGCAGATCTCCCGTGGATGGGAAAATGGGAAGAAAACTGGCTGTGGAAAAACTGAGAATAAACTGCTTTATACCAACAGCTGCAGACACCTACACATTCACATAGTTCTCCAGGCATCTCCCCAGTCCTGGGATCTGCTAGGACCTGGATTCTCTAGATCTCTGTGTCTATTTTTGATGGTGAATAGATCCTAGAGATAAGGTTTCTGATGGTCCCCTTACACCCTAGTAAAGAATTTATAACTTAGACATTAACCCTGCTATTTCTGAACTCACTGCCGTGGAGTTGATTTGACTCATAGTGACCCCTCCTTGGGTTTCCAAGGTGGTACCTCTATGGAAGTAGATTACCCAATCTTCCTTCTGAGGAGTGGCTGGTGGGTTTGGACCGCCAGCCTTCTGGTTAGCAGTCAAATGCCGTAGGTACTATGCCACCAGAGCAGGGCTATTCACATCATATAAACTCTCCAGTGCGTTGGTAAATGAGGTCTTTCCTCAGATACCAACCAAGAGCACTTATCTGGATGAGGAAGTCTAATTCCACTAAGGAAACTAAGCTTCTGTAGCTAACCTTGCCTCTTGAGGACAGAAGTTTCCCTCTGGCCGCACTTGTTAAAGGGCCAGCTCTCTTTATCCAGTGCTCCTACCTTTACTGTTGCTTTCCTTGCTGGCCCTGCCCTGACACCTGATCCTGTGGCATTTTTTGATGATGACCGGTACCAGCCTTACTGCTTAGTGACCCTCCAAAATCCACTCATGTCTTCTTCCCTCATGGAGCTTTGTTAACTCAAGAAGGGCAGGCTAAGAGAGTTCCTGGGAAAAGGAACAAAGCCCATGGCTCTAATAGCTCCTTCAGGGTTGGGAAACTTGTCATGTTGCCTTTAGGTCAATATGGTTTGCCAGAGGAAGCAATCAGTTAGTTCCATGATTTTCCACTAAGGGTTGGGATATGACATTTACCTCTGAGATTATGTTGGTCAATGAGGCAGATTTTTCTTGTAAACCATTAGATGAAAATGATTATTTAAGGAATTATGTCTCCAGCAAAGGTTGATTTGACAATTATCATGTTTTTGTACACTTTTTTTGTGTGTGTGTCAAGTCCTATTGTTACTATAGCTATTGGTAAGACAAACCTCTAATGAAAGTGAACTTAATTGTTTAATTTAATTTAATATTCAGTTGTGCTTGGTGTTCTATCTTTGGGTTGTGGATATTTCCTGCAGGTTTTGTTGGGTGCTATTTCTGAAGTAGAAATCATACTGCTTGGCTCAAGGCCATGTGAGTTTTGGGCCTAAGGCTGTCATTCAGTAGCTGGATGACATTCAGAAGGTCACTACCACTCTCTGGGCCTTTAATTAGTAAATGAAGTAGTCTAGATAACTCTTTGATGATCTCTGGCTGTGAAATTCTACGTTTCTAGGTACTTCATATAGATGTTCCTTAGGAGGGTTTGGGAGATGTGCTGCAAATGTTGTATAGGCTAAGTGTTCTGATCACCCAGCCTGGAAGAACTTTTCTAGGCTTGTTTCTTTCTTCCCACTTTGAAAATTCCATCACTGATTTGTTTTTTCTTGGAAAAGAATAAGATCAGATATTTTCCATAGCTACTGTTTCAGCCATGCTTACCCAAATACACACATACTGCTTAGGAACGTTCTGTGTGAGGGTTTATAAATAGTCCTTTGTTTCCCTTGATCAATATTATTCTTCTGTTTCCTGTTCCCTATCCATGCCCTAGAGAGTTGGAAGCTTTGTCAGTTTTCCCACCCGGGATCTGGACTGGTCAAATTGCTTCCCCATCCTCACACTGCCCTGCCTGTCTGATCAGTTGTTCTACTTCCCTCATAGTTGACAGTGTACTTCGCAAATGCAGCCTGGGGGGACACTCAACCATCTTTCTCTTCTAGGTGTATTTCTTTCATGGAAAACTTCCCTGTTCTGGCTCCTAGTCCAGTCACAGGCTTTGGATTCTCCCAGCCCCAAATCTCTTGTTAGATAAGTCACAGGAAGGTGGAATGAACCTGTAACTACTTCCTTTCACAATTCTGTGCCAATTGGCACCAGTTTAGCGTGTGTCTATGGTGGGACAGAGGCTGGGAAAGCAGGATGTTTCAGGAGAGTGAGAAGCCTAAATAGAGCAAGTCAAGCCCAGCGTGGAACCGGAAATCTCTAGTTCTAAACAGGAATAATATTAGCCAGTTGAAGTGAAATAATTGGAGAAAGGTAAGAGTTTCATGGAAGACTCTGGCCTTTTTTTTTGTTTTTGTTTTTGTTTGGTTTATTTGTTTCTCACCAACCTTTCTGACTAAGTGTGAGTCTCCTGAGAGGAAAAAAGGGAAATAACAGGACTTTCTTTGTGTCTATTTTCTAAAGGGAGTAGAAATTAGATACCTATTGAAAAGAATAACAGCCTGGTTAAAACTCCTTTTACTAGTCTCTTCTTAGATAACTTGGGGTTACCCACCTGCAATCTGTATCCTTCTTTCTGTAAGATTTCTCCTTTCCCAGTAGAAGATGCTATTTCAATTGAAATAGGGATATTAGGATTGGCTCAAAATTAGTTTCATGTCATATTTTGGATCATGAATCATCACAGGATCCTTAACGTTCTAAACTTGGAATGATGGCTTTGTTAACCATCCTCCCATCATCCACCCAATGCATATAAACACACATTTTGCCCCTAGCTCCTACCTGACTATTTCCTTTCTTTATGATGAAGGAAGTTTGGAATGATTTGCCTTTTTTTTTTTTTTTCCCCAATTGTAACAAGAATTTTACTAGAATAATTTTAAACCCAAGGTTGATATAAAGAGAGAGGTCATTTGAAAGAAATGGTGGATTTCATTTTCCTACTCTGAGCATATCAGTTAGTGTTCCATGATTGAGTCACTTCCAAGTACTAGAGAATTTTTAAAAGTTGATATGCAATTCTGAAGAGTATTGAACTGCAGTTAGGGGAAGTTAAGAGTAAATCAGAAGCTTTACAAAAATTTTTATGTAAAGAGTCTTAACCTTTCCCTAAGGAGGAATTTGCTATTTTCTAGCTATGTGTATACTTGGCTAAGTTATCTATCAGCCTCAGAAGGACTTGGCTGTTGACACTATCTAAAGAAGGGTGGTAGCACTTGCCAAGAAATTAATCATATAAGTCAGTGGTAACTCTTAGGTGGTCAGAGTGACATGTATAGGACTCTCCAGCCATATTTGAATATATATATATATATATATATATATATATATATATATATTTTGAATATTCACAAATATTCATATTTGTGAATATTGCATACTGGCTAGAGAGTCAAAGTTTCATAAAACTTTAGGACTGGGAGTCAAGTTTTAGGCTGTGGAGCATCATAGTAGGCTTGAGGATGGCTAAATATGACCGCTCTGTACTACCTTTGCCACACCTTTAAACCAATCCTATCAGCATTTCTCTTAACTTGAATGCAGATGGGAAAGCCTTGCTCTGCTGGGGATTTTCCCAGACCATTTGCATGGGGGGAATGTCAACCTTCTCATGCATCATGAGCATCATGCATGATCCTGGCTGGTAAAGTAAGTGAATTTTGGGCCCAGAAAGGCATGATGCTCAGGTATTACTGGTTAGGTGGCTTTTAGTCATGTTATAATCCTAACATGAAAATGTGTGGAGTATAATTTGGGCATCCTCCAGAACACCATTTCAGAAAGTCTTGGACTAGAAGAGTGAATGACTGGAATAAAGACTAGAGAGGAGCATGGCATCGTCTTTCACTTTCTCCATAGGAAATCTGAATCCCAGGGAAGTGAGATGGCATGTTCTAGGCTAACTAGTGAAATACCTGATTGGGCTAAGGACTCATTCAAGAAACATGCATATTTAAAAAGCTGCATTATGACATTTTGACCAGAGTTTTATAATGGTCAATTACACTGCTGCATAGTCATGACTTCAGCCAAATTTGATGTTTCAAAAGCTTCTTTCCAGAAACTTCACAATTCCCTTCAGGCTTATGGCAAGAAAACAGACAATGAAAATGCACTCAGTGATGTTGCAAATGAAGCTTTCTGTTAGATGCATGGAAAGACTTTTCCTATCACAGTGGGAAAAAAAAAAAATCCAGGCTGCTTAAGCTGTCACAACCAATCACAAACATATTTTTTCCTGCAAAAGCTGAGAAGATTGCAAGCTAAAATAAGAGTGTGACTGTGGCAATTTTACCCCTCTTCCCTGTCTGGCTCTGTTAGCCAACCCCCCTCCCCACTGCAACAATGTGGGCTCATTTTGTACCTGTTGGAGAAATGATTGGGAAGCTGAACGACTTCAGTGATGGCTTCAGGGTTCCTCTTGGCGATGCTGCACACGTTCAGCTTGCTGTAGCACTCCTCCTGCACCTCAGCAATCATTCTCTGGAAAGTGGAGCACCTCCGAATGGCAAGGAAGACCTTGGAGGTAACCCCGTTGGCGATGCACTTTAAGCTCTCTTTGACAAATGCTTTTCCCTGCCAAGGAGGGGGCATAAGAGGAAAAGCTTTAGCTTGACCTGACAAGAAAGAACAGGGCATGCAATATGGGCAACATACAGGGGCTTGCCTTGGCATTGGATCATGGCATCTGCATGTCCTTGCAATGAGAGAAGACTGTGCCATGGCCAAAGGTATATAAAAATGCCCTTACTTCGTTACACTACCGTGAAAATTGAGCTCCATAGAAATGAAATGAGATGAGAATAAAGAGAGATGAACCCTATTCAACCACCCACCCTGAAGCTTAAAAATAGCCCCAGTATGGCTTTGTCTTCTTGGGATTGAGTCTTTGATAATTCAACATATACACTAATATGCTGATCATGCAGTGAGAAGAACTTTTGTGGGAAGAACAGTTTTATTTCCTTTTGAAGAGGCAAAGATTTTCTACTCCTCACCCTCCCCTTTATAAGGCTGCCTCTGTTAGGGGATTACATATCATGCATTAGAGTAGGTAGCTATTTCCTGGACAAAAGTGTGTGTGTGTGTGTTTGTGTGAATGTATGCGCTGAGAAGTGGGTAGACTGAGAATCAGAGCTCTTTTCTTACAAGATGGTTCATGAGAACAATAGTAAACTGTTAAAGACAAGCAGCAAGCAGGAGCAGGGGTCAAGGTCTTATTACCTGAGTGTCAAATTTAGCAGCGCTGTACAAGAAGGATTTACAGATGTCGTACATCCCATCTGTGTCACAGGTGGAGTTTTCCAGGCATGCAAAAGCCCCGCAGCCAACCTGCAGAGCACTGTTGAGGCAGCGAACCACTTCAGCTGGAAGAGAGAAATCCATCCAATCTAGGTCATATAGTGAGGGCAAATCAGCAGGATCAGGTGGGTGCAGAGGCAAAAGGCATGGACAATGAGTTAGAAGAACTTATCCCAGAAGTCCATGATGGGGTCAGCAGATGGGCTCACTCCAAATGGGACATGGGGGTGAGAAGTAAGGGAAAGGCAGGCCCCTTTGACCTATAAAAACCAGAGCACATGAAGGAGAGGGGATGAGTCTTCCCTCTGAGACACATGTCCTCAGTCTCACCATTTTGATGGCTGGAGAAGTAAAATGGGAGTTCATGGAACGCATAGTGGCCTTTAATCAGCTCTATAGAATCAAGGTTATCCCTAGAAGTTCGAAAGCATGGGAAAGCATGGAAAGGCAATGACTGGTGGCCAGGTTTAGGAGATGGAAGGGCCAGGGAATCCATTTGGATTCCAAAAATTCACTTCAGATAAGGAGGGTGAAATTTCAGCCTCACTGGTGAAGAAGAATTTGCCAGGAGTCTACTTGGAGACCCTTCTGATCTAGGGCATTTAACTTACCTTCCCATCGGCAAAAAAAATCTGATCTGCTCATGTTTCACCTCAACCCCCTACTATAGGATAATGCTTGGAGATATGTATAATCTCTCATATTAAAAGCCCCCCCCCCCCTTTTAAAGAGAAACACAGGTGTGGAATAACAAAGCTGAGGCATCCCTTGTGCAAGACTGGAAGAAAACCACAAAGAACTTGCATGAGGCTTTCTACATTTTGGATAAGATCTCCCATAAAAGTAATTTCTCTCCTACAGAAGCGGGGGGGGGGGGTGTTCTGGCAGGCAGCTCAGCAAGAAATGATCTGCAGCCTTCATACCATAGGATTCTCCTCTGAGATCAAAAGCAGGGTTCAGTTAGGCATCCCCACCCCCTCCCACCACCCGCAGCCTCTGGGATGTTACAAGTCATTTCCCTAATTATATATTTCCACGGGTTCAAATTATAACTTTGCTTTAAGCAGTTTTAATATGCATTAGGGCTGCTATTGTTTTAGGCAAGCTCGAATTGTGAATCACTGCATCTCTATAGCAACTAAGTACAAAAGGAAGTGAAGCAAATGCCCTCCTCTCGGCAGGGACCTGTACACTTCCAAGGGGAGCATCGGCTGCAGCATTCTGACACCTGCGATCCCATCTTTGCTGACAGTTGGGGCAGAGAGGGCAGTAATGGAAGAGGAGCAAGTGGGGCAAGAGAAGTCAAAAGGCAGAGGTGTCAATGCGTCTTCCTAATGGCTCTTTCCCTTTACAGGCCAAGATAGTACACAATGCACTGCTCCTGGAGTCAGGACTAAAGGGAGACCTTTCCCTGGGAGAAACAGCCGCTGCATTTCACAAATACTCTTTCTCAAGGGGCTCTCTGGCCATGGGCTGCACCAGCGATTGAATGGAGCCTGGGAGCCAGGAGTGAGAGAACGAACAGTGGTGGGGGTGGGATGAGTGGACTTTTCTCTGAATCCACCCTGGATTTGTCAGACTTGAGGACTATGGTTCTGTAAATCAGTCTGCAGAGGGAGCTTTTCTGTGTGTCCCCAAGTGAGGCAGGGATGTCAAGTTATAAGGTCTTAAAGGTAAGAGAGGCAGCATCAGGAACAAGCTATGTCTCACCTTAAGATCAGCTTCTGGAAAGTATAGAGAGCACTTTGAAGCATGCCAACATTCAAGCCTTTCCCCTTCTCCCTCTCCACCCCCCACCCCACCCCAGAGGGTACGTGCCAGATTTCAGGCAATCAGGCTAGGCTTATGCAATGAAATACCCTCAGCAGAGAGCCCAGCTTCTTCGTTAGTTTCATGCAATTTATTAAACAAAGGAGCTCCACTTCCTAAGGCTATTGGATTACACTGGCAGTTTATTGCCATCAGGCATGAAGCACATTTATTATCAAGATCAGCCTTCACAGACACAGTTGCAAAAGCGAGAGGCAAATGAGGACAGCTCTTTGGGGGAGAAACCGGTCCTGGGTTTGCTGCTTACCTGAGTTCTGAGCTGCCACCCGGGATTTCCTGGGGTTCACAGAGTCATTCTGCTCCGCCTCATGGGTTGCAGAAGCACTGATCACCAGCACCAGAAGCACTGCTGAGTTTTGGAGCATTCTCTGAGAAGTTTTCGCTAAGTTGTTGGTTTTTTTTTTTTTTTTTCTTTTCTCCCTCCCCCCCTTTCCTCTTTCCCTCTCCCGGCTTGAGTGAAGATGTGGATCTGGATACGCTGAAAGCTTAGGTGAGGATTTGATGAGGATTTTTTGTTGCGGTTGTTGCTGCTCCTGCTGACGCTTCTGCTGCTGTTACTGCTGCTGTTGCTGCAGTCGTTGCTTCTTGCACCTCTGGCTTTTGCAAACTGGGGGCCCAAGAGCTGCACCCAGGGATTTTATAGCCGTTCTTATCGGTCCTCTGGATCAGGAACCAATCAGGTCCCTCAGCTGCTCTGAGTAGCCAATAAGAGGGCACACTCATTCAGCTGGAGCTTTTTGACTTCTTAGAAATATTTTCCAGCAAATTAAAAGTACCTGCTGGCAATGTTTTATGTGCGTATGAATGTGTGTGCATAGATGTGTGAAAAAGCTATTTTCATAGAATTAGGGATAACATTGTATTGATCACACTAAAGGAAAATTGTATGAAAATATCTCCAAGGGGCTTTTTGAAATACGTCCATCATTTTTTATGAGCTACTTGGGGAAAATGGGTGGCATGGGCAGGATGGGCAGGGGTCATCTCCTTGGATTCTAATTTAATCTAATTGAGGAGTTTTACTCTGATTTTAACAGCATGCTCTCTGTGTTGTAAACTACATACACAGTACCTCCCCATTTTCTCTGCATGTTTATATTCGCAGATCTATGATGTATTTTTGTTGTATATGGGCATAGTGAGTTCTCATTCACGTATATGAACCTTTGGGGAGGCATATACATGACCCTGCTGGACCTGGATATGGTGGCTCTGAGCCATGGCCCAGTTCTCATAGTAATTAATTTGATGACCTTGGTCAAATCCTTCTACCATGCTGTACCTCTGTTTTCCAATCCATAGAATGCCCAAGTTGAACTCCAGCATTTCTTATACCTCTAAAAGTACGTGATTATTCAACAGCACAAATTAACCTTGACTCTATTTCTTCAGTCTTTGAAGAATTGCAAACTCCAGGAGCGCTAGCTACCCTAAGTACACAGATGCACACCTACACACACTAAATTCAACAGGGAGACATCACGAATGTCTGAAAATTAATAAACTGTGTATTTAAGCCCAACAACTTCATAATCACGTTGAAACAATAAGCTGGCCAAAGCAAGACTAAACCTGCTGGGTAAACCAGTTCATTTCTTGGGGGAAGGGGTGGGCTGGCCTGGGAAGAAGGGAGGAAAAGATCAGAATATGTAAGAGAGAAGATTGATAAGCTCTAGAGCTAATGGGAAAATTACAGTGGAATCACAAATCATGCCTAGCATAGACGCTCGTATTTCTTACAAGCAGGCTGTAAACATCACTGAATCTTGTCCCTAACTTGTGAAGGTGACTAAAGAGCCAAGAGAGGTCTTCTCTGGGTATAAAGGTACCCATTAGCAGCTAGAGTGAGATGGAGGCATTACGAAATAAAGGCTTTTAAAATTATTAGGAGGTAAATGAGAAAGGGACATTGTTGATTCTTACAGACAGGGGCAAAATGATTTTGCAAAGAAGCAGAGCCAGTGGCTTCTGTTGAAATCCTAACGACTTCACACAAAAGTTGAAGGAAGAGCACCATGCCCACTCTATTAACTGCAAAAAAACCCCAATAATCAGCTTTATATGTGTAGGGGAAATGGGTTTGCTGGATGAGTATAGTCATTGTTGCAAAAAAGAGTTCTTTATTTACTTGTACATTTTTTTCAATTGTGGAAAATAATGTATGTAGCAGAATATTTGCATTTCAACAATCCAAAGTTGAGTTGTTTAGAAAGCATTAATGCTTACTCTTCCAGGAAGAGGGACGGAAGGAATAAAAGAAATATATAAAGAAAAAAAATGTGGGGGGAGGAGTGATTTTAAGATTTTCAATTCAATTTAGATCAACTCATCAATATCAGTATTTCTGGAGTATCTGTTTACGGCTTCTTCTGGGCTAGATGCTAACAGGATGAGTTGGGGAGGGTAAAAGGGAAGCAAAATCAAAAAAGAAAAAGTAAGGATTCTTATTCTAGAAAAACTTTCAGTCAAGTTAACAAAATGGCCAACCTCAGTCATACTTCTTTAAGGTTCCGGTTGTCAGTACTTTGCATGGTAAGATGGAAATGGTCAACATTGGCCACAGATGCAGGAGAAATCTTCATGGATAGATCATCGAAGAGGTATCTTTGAAAAGATTTGAGCAACTGCTAACTGCTTTTTAAGAATTTAAGAAAATGCTACAATATATCATTTTTTAAAAAGTTTTTGTTCTGGAAAGCTCAGAGGTATTTTATTGACTGTGGTAGACAAATGGCAATAAAATGTAGCAGTTTAGTGTTCTCTTTCAGAAGGTGAAGAAGAGGATAAATAAATGCAAGTTCTTCCTAAGATCTTGATTTCTATTCCACAACATTCTCTATCTCCGTTGCCATTTTCCCATTGTTAAAGGCTGTGGCATTTGTTTCTCTTGTTAAGCTTTGCTCTTGTTGATCTACTGGCCAACTGGCCTTGTAGGGGTGCGATTTGCCTTACAGAATTCACATTTGTTTGCCAGTTCTCTGGTGTGTCCACCAGAACATGATGTCCTACAAGTACCAGGGTGTGTTTTGTATCTTTTTCTAATGTTGATTTATTGTTCCTCCTGTTTTCACTCTTTTACTGTCACGTGGCAGGAGGTTCATTGTTAGGTATGCGAAGTATCTCACAATGACATTTGAAGAAATTCAATAGTAGCCAGCCACATTGGACTTAATATAATAATCAGTGTGAATATCAATGTATTTGACAATGTCAAGGGAGAGAGATGAAGTCTAACTAGAAACCCAATGTGAAGCTTCCTCCCAGTTGTCTGTGTTGGAGGATATGCAAATGTCCCCATTCACCATGCTGTTGTCTTGAACTTTGATACAGCAATGATAAAAGAGTCTTAGGAGCTCTTGAAGTGATATATGGTTCTTTTGTAACATCTCTTCAGGTTGTGGGACAAGGTAGAGGAGTTTGAACATTAGCTTCTGGGATTTGAATTTTATAGTGCCAGCAACAAGGAGTCATTAAAAATTCTTGGGTATGAATTGTTGAATGATGTGTTACAATTAGTGTTTTTGGAAGATCTTTTGATGATATTCATGATGGTTTGAAGGAAAAAAGAATTGGAAGCTATAAGAAGGATTAGTTTGTGGAGATGAGGTTCTGGATAAAGTAAGTGGCAGCAGGAAAGGAAAGGAGATAAACATGAGATGTATTTTAAGTGAAACAGAAATTTCCCACTATTCTAAGAACTTTATTAAAAAAAAAAATTTCTTCCAATTTAATGATAATGGAGATACTGTACATCAGGACTTCCCCTCCCCTCCCCTAGCATCTCCGTTAGGCAGGCACTTTCTGATGTCTGTTAAGGTAGTAGAATTACGTAATAAAAGGGCTTGACTGAGTTCAGACAAGTAAGGAGCCTTCTCCACCGTGGCTGTGTGAGGTAGAGGTGCCTCCAGGTGCAGTGGGTGGGAAGGGAGGTAGTCTTTACCATTGTCCCTGTGCAGGGAAAGTGCTAAGGAGTGGGTGGGAGAAGCTGCCAACACCTAAGGCTGGGTGATGATGCCCTGGCTGTGCCCGTGCAAGGCTGGCATGAGTTCAGTGAGAAGATAAAGCCAAAAATCTCCAGGGCTTTGTTGGATTTGGCTAGCTTAGAGCTAAGTAGTAAATGGCTTTTTGGTGAGAGAAGCCCCAAGAGCATGGATTCTTGGTAATTGTTTTCTTTTTTGTTGTTGTTAACACAGTGAAAAACTTACCTAGGTTGGTCTGACATTGTGACCAAGGTTGGACAGTTCTTTTCTTTGGGAGATCTGGGCCTGACTCTACTATTCGATCTTCGAGTCATGCCTTCCTAACCCCATGAAAAACAAGGAGAAGGAGGAAGAGGAGGAGGAGAACATAAATGTTTTCATTTTTACATTCTGTGGATGATCCCAAATACTTGAGTGAATCTATTCTGCTTTATTTGTCTTTGATTGCTTTATACTCCACCTAAAGAAAAAAGTGAGAAATACAGTAAGTGGAGAAACCCCACCCTCCTCCCACTGGTTTTTACAGGTTGACTGTGTGTACCTGGATCGAGGTCAGGTATTGTGGAAGGTGCAGAGAAATGGCTCACCTTTTCCTCTGCTGCATGAATTCTTGGCCTACCTCTTAAAGCAAGAATGTTGTCTATGAGGAAGACTATTTATTTTCTAGAAATATAGTACGGTAAAGGGGTTGAAACAGAGTTTTCAGCCTTGGATTCAACTAACGTTCACTGGGTGCCCATATGTCGGCATTGCTATAGATGCTTCTGCATCCATTATCTGTGAAAAAAGAACTGCCATCCCCCCCCCCCAAGAAGGGACACAGGACCCAGAGATAAGAATGTCACGGAGCTATAATGAGTTTTGCTCCTTATAGAAGTAGCCGAGGTTCTTCTTCAGATGAGTGACCACTGTGGTGGTAGAGGTGGCTTGCATGCTTACAACATTGCCCCTGAAGGTAGAATGGAGGGATAAGGAAATAGACAGGATGGCCTACTATGATTTAGCCAGAGCAGGCAAGTTGAAATTATACTCTAGTCCTGTTAGCATTTTATTCTCATTCCTTCAGGTATGAGTTACCATGGTACTTTGGATACAAGAGGACAAATTCACAGTCCTAAGGCAGCCTGGGAATCTTCAGAGCTTCAAATAAGGCTCTGAAGAAAGTGCGACGAACATTTGTCTGCCAAGGATTCTGTCATGAAATTCTCATGGAATCCAGACTTTCTGGAGCCATGGAGGTTGGATGAATCCCCAAAACTATAGCCCTGAGATAATCTACCTTTAACCAAAATATCCCTCAAAGTCTTCTCAAAACCAAACTATGTTGTTGTTGTTAGGGGCTGTTGAGTCCATTCCGGGGCATAGCTACCTTATGAACAGCAGAGTGGAACACTGCTCGGTACTATGCCATCCTCACAATCATTGCACTATTTGACCCCATTGTGGCAGCCACTCTTGTCAATCCATCTCTTTGAGGATCTTCCTCTATTTTGCTGAAAAATCAGATAAGAGTTTAGCTTCACTAGTAAAGAATGTCTG